AATTTTTTTTTCCTATTCCTCTTGTGCTCTTCATTTTATTCCTTTGTTGGTTGTATAGCATGAAGTCACAGTTAGTCCTAATGCAGAAGTGACCCCAAAGCACAGCATGATGAGAGCCAGTTTGGCCTAGTGCAAGGATGGGCAGCTGTGGCCCCTTTACAACCTGTGGACTTCAAGTCCCAGAATTCCTCAGCCAGCATAGTTCAGGTTGTAAAGGGGCCGTAGTTGTCCACCCCTGGTCTAATGGTTAAGGCACAAAGTTAGAAAGTGGGAGACTGTGAATTCTAGTCCTGCCTTAGCCATCAAAAATCAGCTGGGTGACCTTGGACCAGTTACTTTCGGCCCACCTCACCTCACAGGATTGTTGTTGAGGGGAATATTGGAGGATGAATATACATGTTTGCTGCTTTGAGTTATTTGTAAAAACAATAAAGGTGGGATATACAACTAAATAAATAGATGATAAAAGTCAGACGATCGTACAAAAAAATACATATGGTTATTCCTGTGATATTAAAGGAAAAGAATAAAGGCAAACCATTCTCTTGTTACCTTCCATCCTCAGTGTCATTCATCTCCAGTTCCTCTCCATCCTTTTTCCAAGAAATTTTAAACTGGTGTTTCAAATGTGGGTCACATTCAGAATGACATTTCAGTAAAACTGAATGTGATTTCAAAACTTGTGGATTCTTAGGTATAATTGAAATTTTGGTCGCATCTAAAAAATTGAGAAAAAAACCAAACCCATGGCCAATTTTATCATTTGGTTGTAAAATTGCATTCCGATGGCAAAATATATAGCAGGTTCTTTCATTAAATGAATTACACATTTTATCTTATTTATCCCTATACAAAAGGAATATTTACTGGAATTGATGTAATATAAAATATTAAATTTATCACAAACTATTAATCCTGTTTTTCATGTGAGAGAAATGTACATACCCATTTTTAAAATATGTTGTTAAATGTGTTTTGCTTTACCAACATACAAATTGTGTATTTTGCAAAATATTTATGGAGAACATTTCAAAATGCTTTTACTATACACTGACACTTTCACATGGTAAGGCATGTACAAAAACTAATCATCTTCATCATTATCACTATTGATATACAAAGGACACAATTAATGAAAAAATGAAAATGATGATAAATAGTTGTAAATAAAGAAGAAGTTATAACTCCATTCAACTTCAGCAAAACTGTTTCCCCTCTCTACTTTTTTACCATTGTAGCTAATGGGCTCATTACAGCTATGATTCCTGGCTACCTTAATCATTTGAGACAGATGTGTAAATTCAATAAAGGTGAGTGTAGCTCAGGGTTAAAATGACGGGTCCTTGGTGTTCCCTGAGCTTGCTTGTTTTCTTGCAGATGTTTCATTACCCAAACATCATGACTGTTGGCACTAGCACTGATGATGTTACCCAGTTTGGGTAATGAAACATCTGCAAGAAAACAAGCCAGCTTAGAGAGATGTGTGAAGGGCAAACAGCAATTCTTATTCTGCCCTTACAGCCAAGTGCAAGCATTTTATTGCATGCAATAAAATTAACTGCATCTTCAACTATTGCTTATGTTCACATTTATATCACCTCTGACAGTGAGAGTAGCAGTGATGGCACGTTTCCCAACAGAGTTTTTCACCAGGCAGGTATAAAATCCAGCATCTTCTTTCCTTGTTTCTCTAATCTCCAAGGTTCCATTTTGATCCACCTCAAGAAGTTGCATGCTGTCATCTTTAGTCCTAGGAAGGAATTTGCAATCAGATGTATGCATTTATTACTTATTGATCAATATAATTTTTAAACTTTCCTTTAACAGTAAATCATCTGGGAGAGGAAAAATCCTGGAACGAGCCATGTTAGAAACACAGCCTATTTAAAAAAACAGGCATAGTATTGAGAAATAATTCAATGGCACCAACCTAGAAGCAGTAAGACCAATTTCCAAGATCAAAAGTGTTCTCCGGTATGTTTTTAAAACAATGTTATAAAAAAGTTATTTTCAATCCTGTTTTTAGTGACTAGAGAGAAGTAATAGCAAGCTAGTTTTAATTTGACAGCTGAGAAAAAAAAAGCAAATCAAGGATATTGCATATAATTAAGAATACCCCTTCCTTCAGAAACCTAAACTTTGTGCAATTCTAAAGAGATGGAGGGAAATCCAGGTAGAAGATATGAGGAATGGCTTTTCTTTACATATCGCATTGCTATCTTTCCTTTGCTCTCAGAGTGAAATAAAATTAGTGATGTTTTTTTTCCCAAGCTTGAATAGAGGAGGTAATCCTGATACCCCCAGAAACTGAAGAGTCTTTGAATCTGATAGATCCAAAGTAGATTCAGCTCACCCCCATTGTAAGGCCTATTATCATGGCCAGTGAAAATCTCAACAGTCATGATCTGCACCCACAGATCAATCTGATAGAAGAGAATATTGGCCAGCGCAGAGTTGAAATTTGGGGTCCTTGGTATTCTCTAAGCTTGGTGGCTTTGTTGCAGACATTTCACTGCCAAGTTAGTTGACATTGTCAGTGAAATGATGACGATGTTTGGTAATGCACAAAGTCTTCAAGAAAATCACCAAGTTCAGAGAACACCAAAGGCCCCAAAGATCAGTCTATGCACAGAACTCCATCCTGCTTGCAGAGATAACTCTGCTTTTTCTTAACCTCCATTAAGCCATTGCATATAGAGGTTGTTCTATTAGTCTTCTTATAGAAAGCATATTTTAGTTTAAATTTATGACAAGCTGTACAACAAATGACAAAGGGAGACTCAAGGACTGGAGACAAGTAATTGTTTTTTGGCCAAATGGAGGAATTCTACCTCCCTTCCCTTTGACCTCCACAGGTTTTTGTGGTGCTGAGAAAAGGAAGGTGGGGCGATTTATTTATTTTAAAAGATTTATATAGTCATCCATCTTACATGGCATAACTCTGGGTGGCTAATACCAAACAATAAAATAAACAGTAATCACAGAGAGAGAGAGAGAGGAGAGAGAGAGAGAGAGAGAGAGAGAGAGAGAGAGACAGAGACAGAGACAGAGAGACAGAGACAGAGACACACACACACACAGAGAGAGAGAGGAGAGAGAGAGAGAGAGAGAGAGAGAGAGAGAGAGAGAGAGAGAGAGAGAGAGAGAGAGAGAGAGAGAGAGAGAGAGAGAGAGAGAGAAACACCAGCATGAAACTTCCCAGTACCCCAAATACAGCATATCCCCATACATCTAAACAAACTGTAGAGCTTTGCTGGGCTCCACCCTCTCACTATCCCATCTCTTGTGGGAAAAATCAGATCTTTAAAGTTTTGGGGAAGGCTCAGAATGTAGAGACTTACTGGATCTCAGAGAGTAGGTAGGGAAGCTATGGAAAAGGCACAGAACCTATCTAGGTTCTGATAAAGAAAGGACTTACAACTTGTCCATTCTGTGACACCTAGGGAAGCAGTTAGATTCCCTAATGGATAGGTAATCCTGCAAATTCTCAAAGTGTCTTTGGAGATTCTCAATCATCCAGGTATGGTTGTCCCTTTGTTTCAAAAGACAACTGGACTTCCTGTCATAGTTCCGATAGATGAGACCATGTAAAAGAACTTCAAGGCAAGAATTTCTTCCTTAAAGAACATTTTTATTTGGCTACAACATAACGGCACATACAAAGGTGAACCCAAGACTAAGTTCTCCTCCCCTAGGTTACAAAGTTGCAAGCTACATTCCGCACCCCAAATTGCTGTCATAAATCACATTCACCAAATTTTAGAAAATGCGGGCACTCCTTCCAGCTGCTCCAGCCCACCAAAATATTATCAGCAATGACCTTGATTCCCATACATGTGAATTGTTTTGGCTAACTGAGAACTACCCCTCTCTGTCCTTCTTCTAACTAAATATGTGGCAATGAAGACAAAATTTTACTGGTTTACCGGGGAGCTGAGAGAGATGAAACGCCGGAAAAGACGCCTAGAGAGCCGTTGGAGGGCCAGCCGAACCGAACCCGCTCGAACACAGGTAAGGACACATGTTAGATCCTACCTAGTGGCGATGAGAGTGGCTAGGACTAACTACTATTCCTCACTCATCGCGTCATCAGATAGTCGCCCGGCCGCCCTCTTC